AAAACCCCACCTCGGTGGCCTTTCCAAGGCGGGCAGTTCCTCCTGCCGCCCGCCCTGAGCGTTTTCCCTCCCCAGGAAGTACATATGGAGGACATACCACTTAACCTACGCTGGAGAAAAGCTGGCAGACGACAGGAAGAAGCTGAGAGAGTGAGCGGGCGTCTGCGGTTTGCTGGGGAGGGATGGGGACGAGCTGGAGTCAAGCTGTCCGGGTAGCCCGCAAAGCGGCTGCACAGGCAGGGATCAGTCTGGGCTGCTCTGCTCCGGCTCACTTAGGTTCTGCACCACCCCCACCCCCCCCAAAATAAAAAAAAAAAAATCACTGCGAGGCAGGGCTGGCATTTCAGGCGATGCAACCGCTCCGCCGCTGACCGACTGGCCGAGAGGCCGCCTGGGCTCGTTCCCCAGCCACAGCTTGTCCTGCGCTGAGAGCATCCCGTTCGCACCACATCTGGCCCCCCCCGTATCACCCTTTGGTGTCCATGCCAAAACTAAGGCAGAATAGGTCATGTTTGCTCAGTTCTCACCTTAGGTACCCTGCAGAGACAACACGAAAAAAGTATGGCTGAGAGGTAAGGCAAGTAGCAGGCGGAGAAGGCAAAGAAAGGCTGGTGTCACGCGCCTGATGCACATTAGTTCAGAGGACCACATCCATTCGTGTCTGGGGAACTGGTGTGTGTGTGTTAATGGAAGCGCACGGAGAGCAGCTACCAAAGGGAGGATGGGGACAGGTCACATCACATCACGTGGGGGAGGGCATCCAAGGTGGTCTGAAGGAGGCAATCAATCAGGTGGAGTGTTTGGAGTCGTGGAATCACAGCATGTGTTGATGTGGAGTGATCTAGTCCAACACCCCTTTTGGGGGTGGTGGTGAGGAGCAGGAGCTGTCTCAAGTAATATAAACAAATTTAGCAAGCAGGAAAAAGCCCTAGAAAGACAGCCGTAGGTAAGGAAAGCTGTCCCTGAAAGATCGATCTGTGGGTGATAGCTGTTACGCTTGGGCTGTGTTGCAGTTTAAAAGGTAGATGATCACATCTTGGAGTCCTGGCAGGATGTTCTACTCACGCAGGTGAGAATTTGACTTTGTCCTGCATTAAAGCACAGCACCTGAAAGTATGAGTCCATCTCCCCAGGGGAAAGAGGAGGCTAATAGGATGTCCGTCAAAGGTGGTGGTTCCTGGGGAATTAGCATGTAACAGCATAACTCTCTGTTCAGGTATGGCATTAGAAACCGTGATGAGGTCAGCTTCATAAAGAAACTTCGAAAGTAACTTGTCAGGTAAGTCCTGAAAAATCCATTAAGAGCTACCAGAGCATCCTCCTTTTCCCAGGGCTAGTGCTAATGCTTGTAGCAGCTGGTATTGCTGCTCTCCACTGCTTAGCAGAGCATTCCTAAATGCCCATATCTGCATTAGGCACACAGCCTGGCTCTAGTCCATTTCCACATTTTGGTTTTGTAGCCTGTGCCATGGATGCTAACGCAGTGTCTTTATAGCATTGCTGCTGCTCCTGAAATGGTGTATCTTAGTGCTGACAATGGCTTATCTCTAACCTTGTCTTGCATTTGGATTCTGAATCTGCTCCCACAACATCCTGGGACTCATTAAATGCAGTGCTCCTTTGCCCTTACGACTGCTTCTAGGATGCTGCTTTCTTTTAGGCTTCATCATCTCTGGAGCTCACTGTCAGGAATGCGGCAGGCTGCTAACTAATCCCTAGGAGAAAGAAGGGCTCTCTGTGCCTACAGGTGATTGCCATCACCCAGCTCATTTGATCCTTCTTTGTGTCTCAGACTATCTCCAGACAGAGCAGAGCAACTTTCTCCCGCTCTGCTCCTAGCTCCTTCCTGTACCATGCAGAGCACCTGCAGTTAACAGAAACGTCCATTGGGTGTACATAAGTAAATGCAACAGCAAACATAGCATGTTCTCCACTGTTCCACAGAGGATGTATTTTGAGCCCTTTTCCTGCAAGCTAGAGAAAAGAGAGACGTCAGCTCATGTCCTGTGTTTACGTTCTCAGTTTCTCCATTTTCTGGTTTACAGAGACTTGAATTCAGCTGATTCATTGTCCTGCGAAGCCAGGGCATGCTGCTAGAAAACTTTCGTTCATGGTATTTTTGTGCAACTGATGCATTTAAAAATGCTTCCAACACAGGAAACATTATACATGTATATTTATCTCCTTGTAACCCATGTGGACCTCATGATTCCAGTATGAGGCTGCCATTTTTTAAAAAAAAAGTTATGGCCACACCATGCATTTATGTGTACAAGATTCTCAAGCTTAGTAAGTTTAAACTTGTGTCAGCTTCCCTATTCCCCCCATCTAAAAACACATCTAAAACTCTGAAAAGCAGTGGTATCATCAGCTTTTCCAAATGCCTGTTTGTTCATTTTGTTTTGTAACTCTTAACTGGCTGGGTTAGAAAATGTTATTTTGCCACCACAGTGGCTTTTTTTTCCCCCTCTTTCAATGCTGCCATCCTCACGGTATCCACCATAAGAAAACGTGTGCCCTGACAGAGGAGCTCTATCTATCTGCCTCGAGGTGCCTACGACCACTGGTGGGTCACCTGTGGCAGTAGCTGATCCCCATGGACAGCCTAGGCCAGGTATTGCATGCTGGGCTCTTGTATTACCACAGTAACTATTGTCCCTGTCACATCTTTTCTTTGTTTAACAGATAAAAGCAGATAATCCAGCTGTACCAAGACCATTCTGTGGATTCAGCACCTTCCTAGAGGAAAAGGTTGTAGCATTTCAAATGGAAACAGACTCAGAGTCGAATGGAAACTCTCAGATGCCACAGCTTCTGCAGTTGCTGTTTGAAACATCTGCCTCGGAGCTGTATGCTGTGTCCATTTTCAGGGATTAAAGAGACGATGTGGTTTTCTGAAGCCTTTATGGCCCTTATTTCATTTCCACCTGCAAACCCATGTCTGGCTATGGTTGGAGTGCTAGAAAAGGACTTACCTACCCTACAGGGGCAGGAAACAGCATAGAGGAGAAAGTAACAAATGTAGCCACAGACTACGCAGAACAATTAACAGTAGCTAAAACGCTACCTTTCCATTTAATCACCACCTTAGCAGTAGTAAACAACTCTAGTTAAAAATGTAGTATTGAAACTAGTGTAATAAAAATAATGGCAGCAGAAAAGGTTCAATACAATTGAACAAGGCACAAACATTCTGTTTTCAGAGTCTTCTGAGATAAGGCAAAACATGCCTGCCAAGTGCTAAGGAGACAGTTTAAATTAACCACGGGCAGGGTTAGAAGTGTCATTTGGATTAGAGGCTCTGTCCATACGGAACCAACACAGCAAATGCAAAGACAGTCCATCTCCAGTGCCTGCTCGAGAAACAAGTCTTTGCCTTTCAGTGGAGCTGTGCATCCAGGTCGTATTTCTCACAGAATTTGTCTGTGAATGGTATACACGTAAGGAACTCACACCACTCACACTTGATGGGGTAGAAATAGAACAGAATCACAAGTCCTGAGAAGAGTGCAATGAAGATGAGCTGGAAAATTATAATTTGGCATCGCTTCCTATACAAGTCAAACTTCCCAAAGCTAATGTAGGGCAGGAAGGCAAAGGAGAGGAAGAAGCCACTGATAAATCCTGAAATGTGAGCAAAATTATCAATCCAAGGCAGGAGGCCAAAGGCAAAAAGAAAAAGCACCACTGCCAGCAGCTTGAAGAAGGCCCTCCATGGGCGTGCCAGGATTTGCCAACTCTGGAAGAGCTCCACAAAGAGACAGGCCAGAATCCCAAACTGGGATCCTGCAGGGCCAACCTGCAGAAGAAGAGCATTATGAGTAACATCAGCCACATGCCACCTGCCTGGCTTCTGCAGCCAGCTCCAGGCATTACAGTTACCTGGCAGCTCCTTGTTCAGGAATACTTGGGAAGGAGATGCTGCAGCCCAAGCCTTTGTCCTTATAATGGAGTTTAAGGAGTAAAGGGCCTAGTCCGATCTTGGGATCGAGGCAGCCTGGATGAGGCCAGCTATTGCCAGAACTGATTTTATGTTTAAGGAAGGCAGATCTGGTCTGAGTCACCAGGGTGAAGACTCAAGCTCCCTTCTCCTCCCTCCCACCACCTACTTTTCCTCAATGAAGGACAAGGACAGTCCTGGACAGTGTGTGTGAGTAAGGCAAGCTCTGCCCTTTTCCCTCACCCTCAGCTGCCTGCCACTCATGTGGAAGGTCTCTGGCACTAGCTACAGATCTCGGTTCCCAGACCTGCAAGGAGCCTCTTGTGCTCTGGCTGGACAAAAAGCAGTAGCCCATTCATTGCAAGAGGCAGCCTTCTTACTGCAGCCCAAATAGGCCAGTCCCATGGAAGGCCCAAGGTATTCTGGCAGATTCTACTGCTTAGCAATTAGATGAGGGTGTGGTGCTGCCTTTCTAGCTACAAATCTGCACAAGCCATGTGCTGCAGAGATGAGCCCAGCTCTGGTTTCTCTGCCTCTGCCAGCCAGCCCACCACAGGCATACAGAGAAGGCCTGTGTTCATTGTAGCAGTCAGGACAAGTTGGTGGGACCCTAGCCTGTAGGAGACCCACCTCTGCTCTGTAGGGTAGGAATATTGCACTGGCAAGGTTCCCAGTAATGCCACTGAGCAGGTAGATGATAGAAATGCGATGCCATCCTGCCAGCTTCTCCAGGTCCCGCAGGATCGTCATTTGGAAACAGACTGAAACCAGACAGTGCAGGATCCTGCCAAGTTCAGAGTACAGGAGCTGAAGCAGCAGCCTCTGAAGAAATCTCCTGTCCTCGCTTGTTTCTTGCCCAGCCTCATGGAGAGCTGCAGGTCTCGCCCAGCCTGGCCCACCTCTCTACCAGCAAACTCTACCTACAGAATCTCAGCCAGGACAACAGCTCAGCCCCCCTCCCCAGTCTCCCAGGGACGGGCCTGCCGGACAGCCCTCAACAATCCCAGCGCCAGGGTCCAGGGCTCCCTCAGCCACTGGAAGCTTTACACTTACCCAGCATGGAGGAAAAGTGAGAGCCAGAGGCGGTAGAACTGGTCAGGGACTTCTGGATTTAGGAAAGGCAGGAGTCCACAGACGTCATCCATGCAGTGCACCTAGGGCAACAAAAGCAGAGTCATGAAGTGTGCCACCCAGCTTGGCTATTTACCAAGGCCAGCGCACAGAGACTGCACCTAGTTCTGAGGAGGCAGCTCTCCACCCTCTTCTCCACTGCATCAAGTCCTAATGTTGTCTCCGAAACACAATCACGTGTGTCCCCAGTCATATCCTAATGCAGCTTTACTCCGTTATTCTTTGCTCCAACGCACTTACAAGGGAGCCATCGCCACTGGCTCACCCACGGAGCAAGCCAGGTGCATTCCTAGTGCTCATACAGCGGCCTGGTGTTGGGCTCTTGTGGTTGCCAGCCTCAAGTCCCGAACCAGTCTCCCCAGAGGGCCATCTCTCTACCGCTTCTGTCTGGGTCAGCGACCTCCCCAGGGTTCAAGGTGGGACTCAGCAGTGGGGCTCGGCCTGGAAGCAGGATGCAGGACTCCCACCCACACTGCCTCACAACGTCCTCCAGATCTTGCCACGCTGCTAAGGGGAGCAAGAGGGAGGAGTGCAGCCATCCAAACCCCTGGCTCAGCAGTTACCTGAGAGCAGAGTGTTGCCTCCTCATGGAAATAGCCCCGCATGAATTCACAATACTCCCGGGAGGTTATTTCACACCTACAGAAGGCAGAAATAATTAAAATGAGAAATAGCATGTCACGCAGGGATGGCACAAAGGACTATCCAGTGCCCTCCCAGGCCACTTGATCCCACTGCCCCTCATCCCAGGTTCAGGCATAAGAGCTGTCTCCAGCATGCTGCAACGTCTCTGCAATGCATACACTAAAACATTCCCATTTGATTTGGGTACCGCTCTCCAATACTCCCCTCCTGCTTCCCTCCCAAACAGGAGCCCAAATCACCATACACACTAATGCCATGCCTGCAGGGACTGCAAAACAAACGCTGAGGTGAACTATTTGCAGCTGAGAAAGAAAGAACGCAGCTTGGGGGATCTGGGTCGCTGAGGGAGTCCTCTGGCTCGGCAGCTGGCAAAGCACAAAGTAGGGGCTAGGCCAAGGGTGTCCTGTCATGACCTTCAGGGACAGAGCTGCTTTCAGGGCAGCACTGACTTTCCTCCCTAGCAGGAAAAAACAGGCCTAAGTAAATACGGGGTAACTACTCAAGCTGAGGAACAACACGAAGACGACTGCGGGAAGACTGTCTCCCTTCTCAGCAAACCTAGAGCAGGTTGTCTCCTGATATTTCCTCGAATGTTCAAAGACACCATGCCGGAGCCAACCCAGCATGTCAGGAACGAGCTGGCCCTTCCTAAGGAAAAGTGCTGAACTCCCCAGGACAAGTATTTAATCCCCAGGGATACGTGTCCTTCCGGACTGTGCAGGAACAGTTGAGCGAGCGAGATATCCTGACCCACACCAAGGACTCATTATCCCATGCTCGCCCCAGAGCCCTACTCCATCTAGGAGACCTGTCATGACTCCTCGTCCCAGCTCCGGGCTCTGCGCAGGAAGGAAGAGGACGAGCAGCTGCGCACATGACCTGAAAAGGCCCTGCACCTCACGCCAATGCTCAGCTCTTCTCCACACAGGTAAAACTCGTTACCTTCCTTTGGTCCCAATGCAGCAGGGCCGGCCTGTGATCACGCAGTCCATGTGAAGGTGGTTGGTGTAATTCCCAGCGCTGTTTTTTGTGCAGATCTGGAAGATGACAACAGGCTGCAGTCAGACAGCTGTGGCTTTGCTTGCTGCCTGAATGACGTTAAAACAGCCCCTTGGGAAGAAGCCAGTCCCGCAACAGACACAGACCTCCCAGAGGCTTCCTTCCTCTGACACCCCCATTTACCTGGGCCTCCAGGACCTGAATCACCACCACCACCTGACTGCTGAGTGATGAAAACAGCCCCTTGACTGAGTCATTCTCCTGGCAGGGCCCACGAGAGGCCTTGGAAGGCTTCAAGCCTTCCCTAGATAAAGCCAAGGCCGCTCTGATCTGGTGTTTGCAACAGCCCTGCTGCAAGTGGGAGGCTGCACCAGAGAGCCTGGGGCCCCTTCCACCAACACTGCTGTGGCTCTCCACAGCAGGATGCCCAGGGCTGCAAACGCCATCACAGCCGCCAGCACAGGTCCCGTGCTGCCGGCAACGCTCACCGGCCATTTGGTGATGTCGTCCGGCCACTCGTGTGGCTCTGTCGAGGCTGGCTGCTCACACACCCTGCAGCAACAGAAAGCCGAGATCACCCAGAGAAACAACTTTCCCCAGCACCAGCAGCAGGTGGGATTACCCTGAGAGTCACCGCACTGCCCTGACCCCAGGCTGCTGTCCCACAGGTCTCCTCTGTCCCTGGGACAGGGCTGGCAACACGCTACACTGGATCAGCCAAAGATCTGCTGATCAAAGCCACTAGTAAGGGGGTCACAGTCTCCTTCAAGCGAGTAGACATCACAGTGTCGGCACAAGGTAGCCATCAGAGAGCACAGAACTGCCCAACAACTCGCTGGAGCTGGCGAGTTGGCACAACTCATCCAAGTGGGCACAACCCCAATGGTGGGGATTCAGCTGGTCCCAACCATGGTGACCAAGGGCACAGGCGTCCTCCCCAGAAGTCATCGGAGCAGACTGACCCTACAGAGCCCTGTGGGTGGCAGGGCTTCTGGGCATGGCTGTGCTGGGAACATGCCTGCTGACCACCAAGCAGGGCCAGCCTGTGCCGTCAGCATCTGGGCAGTGCCACACAGCATCCAAGCTCTGCCTCAAACTCCCCTGCACCCCCAGCAAGCCTCAGCACCTGCCCTTTGTTGGGTACCCTGATCTCTATCAGTGCAGGTAAGAACATCACCACCCGC